TCAATGTTCAATAGCCACATGCAACTAGTGGCCACATACTTGACAGACCAGGTATTTATCACTGCCATCATCACAGAAAGTTCTATTGAGCAGTGATGCAATACAAGTGACAGAACTACTCAAGAACTAAAATTCTAGAAGCCTGGAAGTTTGCTACCAACTATATAACTTTAAGTGAGCAACTTTACATCCCTGTGCTCCAGTTTTCTCATTGGTAAAACGGAGTAACAGCTTTGCAGAGATGGTGTGAGGATCAGGTACACTGGAGTCACATTTCTCCCAGCTTTCGTATCATCATCCCCGGACCTGAAGACTAAATTATGCACAACAGAGTCACAAGGAAGGACCACATTGAGGATGACTTGGTGGATACAGGCCTTTAGGAGTTTAATATTCATAGCCATGATTGATATTATTCCAGGGCACCTATAAGTACTTAAGAACAGCATATGTTTAAAAGTGCAATAAGCTATCTGCAGACAGTTCCTGTGATGATGGAGAGACACAGTCAAATGAGCATAACTGAATAGGTTTTCATTGGCAAGTGGCCTTGTAAACTAGTAAATTCTCATAGGGTTTAAAATGGAAAGCTCAAAGATTCATTTTCTGCTTTTTCATTTGTTTAACTTTAATGCCTGAACCTCCTTTTTTAGATTTGGAAACAATAATCTGTCCTTGTAATTTTTTGAACAATGTTGTATTTTTTAAATTTATCTAGAGCAGAGGTTGGCAAACATTTTCTGTAAACAGCCAGATAGTAAATATTTTAGGATTAAAAGGTATTTATCACAACTACCTGCCATTCCTTGGAAGGAAGATTGGGTGGGCAACCTACTTCTGTAGAGATACTTCCCTGCAACCCCAAAGAGGGGTCGCTGAGTTGAATCGACTCGAGGGGAGTGAGTTTGGTTTTTTTGGTTTACTCAGCTCTGATAGCACAGTGCCTAAGGCATTTGACTGCTAACTAGAAGGTTGGCGGTTCAAACCCACCAGCCACTCCTTGGAAGGAAGATTGGGCAATCTACTTCCGTAGTGATACTGCCTCGGAAACCCAAGCGGGGGTCACTCTGAGTTGGAAATGACTTGACGGCAGTGAGTTTGGTTGTTTTTGCTTGTTTGTTTGTTTTACTCAACTCTATGTTAGAGTAGTTTTTTTAGCACAAAAGCAGTCAGAGACAATACACAAATAAGTCAGCATGGGTGTGTTCCAGTAAAAGTTAATTTACTAAAATAGACCCTCAAGTGGTAACTTGCCAACTCATGATTTAGAAGTATTGTTTAGCTATGAATGTTCATGATCATTAGTTATTAGAGAAACACAATCAAAATAAGAATGAGATATCATCTCATTGCAGAAACAATAGCAAAATTCAACAAGACAGAAAACAACAAATACTGGCAAGGATATAGAAAGACTGGAACTCTCATACACTTTTGGTGTGACTGTAAAATGGTACAACAATTATAGAAAATGGTATACAGTGCTTCCTTAACAAGTTGGAAATAGAAATATCATTTGATGCAGCAATCCCACTCAAAAGAAAAAGAAAAAGAAAAAACTAAACTCATTGCTATCGAGTTGGTTTTGACTCATAGTGACCCCCACTGGGTTTCAGAGGCTGTAAATTTTTATGGAAGTAGATCACTCCATCTTCCTTCCTTCCTTGGACCAGCTGGTAGGTTTAAACCACTGACTTTCTGGTTAGCAGCCAAATGCCTTATCCACTATGCCACCAAAAGTCCTCCAGCAATCTCACTGTTGTTGTCGTTAGGTGCCGTCGAGTCATCTCCAACTTACAGCGACCCTATCCCCAGCAGAATGAAACACCGCCCCGTCCTGTGCAAGCCTCATGTTCCTTGCTATATCTGAGCCCATTGTTGCAGTCACTGTGTCAATTCATATTGTTGAAAGCCTTCCCTTCTTTGCTGATTCTCCACTTTGCCAAGCATGATATCCTTCTCCAGTAAGTGGTTCCTTCCGACAACATGACTAAAGTAGGTGAGAAGAAGTGTAGTGATTCTCGATTCCAAGGAGCACTGTGGCTGTACTTCTTTCAGGATAGATTTGTTGGTCCTTTCAGCAGTCCATGGTACTCTTAGC